TGCAATGAAAATGTAACTGATGTTTAATTTCATGACAGGCTGCGAGTTCTACTATACAGTGATGTGGCATTAGTGTCTTTATGTTCAAATTGTGATCTGTCTGCGTACCATGCTACAGATGAGAGAACAGCCATTCCAGTCCAGTCTGGCTGAAAGCGGTCCGACTCAGTCTATCGTCTTAGAAAACTCTCTGTCACTGTGATCCGATGTGACTGCAGATGACTGTGTTTTCATACCCCCTCCAATTCTCCCCCTGCCTCCCTTTGCCTCCCTCGCTCATCTGTCTAGTCAGGCTGTCATGCCTCAGTGTCTCTCAGTGTGACTGAAGGCTGTGGAGTGACCAACTTAGCACGTTGCTTCAGGGTTTGCAAACTGAGAGGCAGGAAGACTGTTGGGTTTGTGTCAGCAGGCTTCACTTCATTCTTTGTTGTTGAAAATTGTTGGCTCTGGTTATGAATTGAGTATGCAATATAATAAAAGTCCTTTCTCATCTCTTACAATAACCTTCACACAACACTGAAGATATCTGCTTTCATTCCGGGGAACTTCACTGAGTGCAAATAATAGTTCAGTGTCAAAGACACTGAACTCAACACACATATTGGTTTTAAACTGTTATTAGATGAACTCTCCAGCAAGACAACATATTTCCAAAGAACCAAAACAGTGCAAGTATAGAGTTGCAGTATAGAGAAGGTATCAATCTTCTCACCAGCGAGTAAGCTTTTTCCAAAATGTCACATTATTCCATTAAGCTGTGACAAAACAGGATGCAATCATTTTCAAATGCAGAGAATGTGTAAGGATAGGGTAGTGGATGTCTGCCATTATCATCCATTAAAATGTCCTCTGAACACCTTCCTGTTCACTTGTGCACTCCATAGTCTCTAGAAGATGAGTGTCAGCTACTGTAAATGCTCAAAATATAACATTGCAACCTAAATTAGCCATTTCAGTTTGATAATCAGTCTACTCTGCGCTCATGAGCTTTGTATAATGAGGGATGGCAGAACACAGTGAAATGGAGGAAGAAAGACAGGAAGTGAAATAAATAGACTGATCAAGATGGAAAGGCAGAGCCGGACTCTTTGACCTGTGGGCTTTGACCCCTGAGTCACAGAAGAGAGGAATGAGGCGGATGAAAGATGACCTGCCCACTAGCCAGAGTCATCCTGCTCATCCTCCTCTGAGTCCTCTTTGTCATCATCATCTTTGTTTTTTTGTCCGTGGCCTGTGAGAAAACGAGCAATGAGTACCCACTTAGCTCCAGGATGAATGTCAGGCTTTATATGTGTGTAATTGTGTTCCGAGAGACCCTCTTATTTGATAATATTGCCCCTCGACAAATATCTTCCACCACACAGCACAGTACAGCCTCGTGGTAAAGCCTTTAATTATGAAGAATTCACTCAACAGGCTTCAGAGACACTTTGACCGTGCTACACACAGGTATGAAAGCGTGTTCGTCCTCTTCGCTTAAAAAGGCCAAAAGTTCAGCTCTATGGCACACGATCATCCAAATCAAAGGCTGTAAGGAATTTCCGACGTGAATGTCTGAGCAATTCATGCCAGTTAACACTCGGTGACATTCTAGCTGTTGAAATATGGAGATGTTGACATTTGCACATGGCAGCTAATTTTATGTATGTGTCTGTTTTCTGTTTGTGCCTGTGCTCGAGGGGTCATCTGTGTTGTCTGCTGATTTTTTTATTTTTTTTATTTACCCCCGGGCATCTCTCTCTGGAGATATGACCCAGGTCAGACATAAAAACAGACACACAGGAGAAAAACAGATGACAACATGAAGAGTTATATTATATTTCCATGTTGGGGGAAATTTTTACAGAAGTAGTTACTTTAAATAAAATATAGAGCTTATTTGCGTTAAAGGTTGTTTGACATTTGAAGTTTGACACAGCACCTTTAAAGCTCACTAATTAACATGTTCTATTTTGTCTGTTTAATCCATACAAAAACAGAGGTTAGAATAGGTGTATACCCCAAAATGTCTATCTTTTGCTTTTCCCTCTTACCTGTAGTGCTATTTATCCATTTAGACTGTTTTGGTGTGAGTTGCTGAATTTTGGAGTTATCAGCCATAGAAGTGTCTGAAGTAAATGGCACTTGGCTCGTGGTGCTGAAAGCAACAAAAGACATTTGAAAAAGTCATCAGCAATGTCTTTGTCTAGAAATCATGACCTCAAAAATAGTGATTGTTCAAGATAATCCACAGACCTCGTGAACAGTTTCATGTAGGAACTACTTTCTATGTATCACCGCGACAGCACCATCATCATCATCATCATCATCATATGTATCCATTTCGGCAAATATGTTGCAGAGATGTCAAGAAAACTGCAGTTTACTGCAGGGTTTTATTCGCATTTCTTAAGTATATTTAGCTTTAATTTTTCTCAGTTCAGGTTTGATATATATTTCTGATATATTTTATTTTTGTTCAAATCGTACTCTTGTATTATGTACAGGTTTCTTATAATAAAGTTTATTGTGCAGCTGTATATCAAATGTAACATTAATATGACAAAATGTTAAAAAGAAAATTTTGGCTGACATACTGTCTGATTGTTAGTATTCTAAAATACTGGTACAGGCCTCATATCCAGAATTGGATTACGAAGGAAGAAGGAGAAGATCAGTAAAGAATTTGATGCTGCATTTAATTTTGAACACATGCCCTATCACATTCCTCCCTTAGGCTATAGAATTTCTCTTTTCCTTTCCTCCCGTTCTTCTGTACCGTCTATTTGTTTTATCTATTTCCCCTTCCCTTTTTTGTCACTTATTACCTTTTATACAAAGTCCCACTTATAAGCAGCCATACCAGGTGTCTCTCTGGGAGAAAATGGCCTGAGGTCCAGCACCGCTTAATATGGCCACTGTCGCTGTGGGGGAGGCCATTCCTGCTGCAGCAGCATGGAGCATTATTATAATTAATCTGAAAATGGGTTATTACATTTGCATGATATGGCATTGCCTTTTCCACAATGAGATTAGAAGATTTAGCATGCATGGCCTGCCTTTAATGCAATAAGTGCATTTCATTGTGTTGCTGTCTCTCTCTCTCTGTTGTCTTCCCTCTCGATTAACTAGTGAGAGTGATATCCAATAGGACGTGTCATCGTAATTAGCTGTGTCCTGGGGTTGTATTAGCACACACACACACACCTGCATAGCTCAGCTGGATAAAATCTGACACACTACTTTCTGCCTGAGTGTTCATTTCCATATTCGCATATTCGTCATCAGACATGCTTCCTCTCCAGCCGAGTAGAGATGTAACAGGTCTGACTCTAACAGTGAGCTTAATAGTTTCACCTTCAGATGCCTCTGAAGACTTCAGACCCCCTCCCCCCTGCACATGTGTGTGCAGGCTGTGCCCGTGTATCCACATGTGTCTGTGTGTCTACAATATATGTGCAAATGCATGTACTAGTCATGAATAATGAAGATGTCAGGATGGACTGAGCCATTTACCTGACAGCAGCAGCACTGCTCCATCGAAATCCATCTTAGCCTGCTGAGAGGAGTTATTGTCACCCTTCGGCTACTTTGATCCAACCTGCTCATGCAATGGGAAAAAAATGGCTATTAGAACAAATCATTCAGTCTAATGCTGAGAATTAAAGTCTGTTTTTTTAGTTTAGAAATTAGGAAAAATGTGCTTGTTGATTGAAGCATCTTCTGGAATAGAACTGAATCATAGTAATAGTGGAGCTGAAATCACATGTTTTTAAGACTGAATTTTATATAAGAGTAATCTCCCTGGATTAGACAAGCTGAAATGTAGACCTATGTTGTATGGAAGACAGAGACAATTATATATATTTATCAAAAAATATATACACAGGTGCATCTTGATGCCATTGGTGCAGTGATATAATACCAATTTGCAAATAAATTAATAACGGCTAAGGCACATGTGACAGAGACTCACACTCCGCAAGACTGAGGACATAAAAGGGAAAAACAAACACACACACACACACATAATTTCCTGCTCCCCATGGTGCAGTTTATAAGAGCCCATTAATGCCAACATGTTTCTGTGTGTTTGTGACGTCTGTACGTATCAATCTCTTTGTTACAGACTACACAACAGAAGCTAGCTAACGCTTGCGGGTCTGCACTCATGTATAATTTGATCTATATAACACACTGACAAGGAAGCGTTCACTAATGTGGTGCGTTTGTGCATGCATGTGCCAATCTACTTTGCAGCTATATCTGCAGCAGAGCTGGGATTGTTCTGGCCGAGTGCGCTCACATGCCATATGTTTACAGGCAAACACGTGGTACATCTCAGCGGTGCGCGTTGGATGTTCTATTAATCAGTGGCTATCTTGTCTTGAGAAGAATGCAATGTGGACACAGCTTGCTCCTAATATCGCCACAAAGACTGCCTAAAATGTGTCTTTGTCTTCTAGACAATGAGACATTCCACGCTGTCATATACTATATTATATATGTTAACTGCTTATATTAATCCACTGTGTCTGTTGATGGAATCTTGACTACCAGAGAAGGCATAGTTCATTGACTGGCAAGTGCAGGAATCTTAAATTGTTTAAGTTACAATGACTGAAATCAAGTTTGTTTTGACGTTTCCTCCTGGCAAAGTCTTTTACACTGGCAGGATGATGGGCTATCCAATGGACAAGACACTTGTGATCTCTGGCTTATACCCTAATTTGGGTGTTGAGCTTTGAGAATGTCAGTGAATTTTGAGAGAAAAGCAACAAACCTTCCACTGTGACTCAGACTAAATAGTAGATACAGTATATCTTTTTTATGTACTAATAGTATGTCATTTTTATGGATTAATCTTATATACATTACACTATTTTTACCTCTGTATATGTAGGCTAGATGTCTGTTGGAGCAGATGCTTTCATAATGCATGTGCACTTTTAACTTTGAGACCCATTTCATACTGCAGTCTCTATAAATCCATTAAAATGTATACATATTCTTTTTTGTAGTGTGGATCCCCACTTTGTCACTCCGCTGACCACCCTGACTGTGTCGTTGAATTTCGACAGAAGGTTTTCATCGTGACACACCCAACCATGGACAGGAAGAGGAAGTGGGTGCCGGGCTTTGGGGCTGTGCTACTCATACTCATGAGTCACATGACTTCAGCGCTGGAAGTGCCTCTTGATCGTAAGTATTGTCTTCATCAATATCACAGATTGCCAAAATAGTACATTCAGAAAACGTTTTAACCAACTGTTCTGCTTGCATCAGCACTTCATGCTCAATGGAAAACTAGAAAGGAAGTTATTTCATATTGTGGAACATAATGAAGAACATTACAGCCTCTATGGGCCACTAAAGGGGCTTTAGAGTAGCTGCAGATTGAGCAGCATTTACTGGTTTCTTGTATTTCAGCTTTGCATGTTTCAGCATGGAATTAATTTTATGGTTTTCAGTTATGAAATGCAATTCAATTTCTATATATCACACATCCTGTGTGAAATTATGTCTTCAACTACTTTTCTTGCATTGATTGTACCTGCTTAGTTAGTCTTAAGCCATAGAAGTCAAGCCAAAATCATAAGCAGGCTCAATACGATGCTTAAAAGTACTTGAATGTGCGACTATTTCACCTGAACCTGTGGTTTACTCCTTGCAAAAACTAACACCTTTCCTCAATATTCTATCACTGTGGTACGGCGTGTCATGGTGGACAAAAAGCTAAAGTACTGGAAGGATGTAAGTTGCCACAAACACTGCTGTGACGTCTAGTGTTGAGTTTTTGCTGTTAAAACTTATTGAGACTTGCTTTTGTGTGGATTCTAGCAATGTTAGATGTGCATGCAGTTATCTCAACGCTGTTACTGTGTGAAGTGACTTGCTTGTTTTGGAGTGGCGCTTGGTTTACTGTCAGTTCATGGAACTGTAAGTTCTTATGAGATTAGATACTTGTTGTGGCTTTTGTTTGCAGCTCCAGATGGTGTTACACTTGATTGTCAAGTTTAACTGAATGCTTGCTGCATGTTGCTTGCATATCCTTGATTCTATAAGCCCCAGTGTACTATGTTTACATGTCATTATATGTATCTGAACCTTTGCTTCTATTCATGTTTCTCCAGTACCCCAACCCCCCACCATAACGCTACAGTCCCCAAAGGATTACATCTTTGATCCGCGGGAGAACATTGTCATCCACTGTGAGGCCAAGGGGAAGCCTCATCCCAGGTGAGGCGATCGCTCCTCCCACCACATCGATGCTTGTTTATCAGAACATGTGCAACAGACAAAAAGTTTGAAGGACAAAAACTCATAAAATAATGACATGGTCTAGGTAAGGTAAGGTACAACCTGTTCGTCAAACTCATTTCCATTTAGCTTTATGGGTCTCTATGTGAAACCATACATGTGTTTCTGAGGGCAGCTTAACCTGGAGTGGTGTGGAAATATGAATCACCATAGCAACTGTTGTCATGGAGACCACTTGAGAAACACACCTAGCAGAGTGAATTATACACAGTTTAGATTTGCCACCGGCCTCTGAGTCAAATGATTTAGAACCTGCCAAACACCCAGCAATGAATGATTCAAATCAGTCAGCATGAACGGACCACAATGCATCATGATGATTTGAATATGCTGTGTGTTTTACAATACAGTGATAATTGTTTTTGTCATTGATCCTAGCTTTTCATGGACAAGAAATGGGACCCACTTTGATGTAGAAAAAGACTCCAAAGTCCTGATGAAGCCCGGTTCAGGAACTCTGGTCATTGACATCAGCGGGGAAAAGGCTGAGGCTTATGAAGGAACATACCAGTGCACAGCACACAACGAGCACGGCACAGCTGTAGCCAACAGTATTGTCATCAGACAGTCCAGTAAGACTTCAATTACATTATTTATGTTGTTTTTTCCCCAAAAGATTCTAAAGACTTTAGCCCCAACTACAGTATAAGTTATTTTTTATATTTAATGTTGGACTTAATGTTGGAATTTAACTCTTCAAACAAAATAATTGATTCCTAGTTTCCAGCATCCTCAAAATGCTCAATCTTATCACTTTTGTGAATATGAATAAATGTGATCCATATGGCTGTGAAGCTATGGGAAGCCTGCAGTACCTTTGTTTGATGTTTATGTGACTCGCAGGGTCCCCCTTGTGGTCGAAGGAGAGAAATGAGGCCATCGTGGTGCAGATGGGGGTCTCCCTAGTGCTGCAGTGCCGACCCCCTGCAGGGCTGCCCCCTCCTGTCATCTTCTGGATGGATAACAGTGAGTCATTTGCATATATACACATCTGCACACATTGTACAAGGACATAAGCATTTCACATTCAAAAGAGCAATGCCAGACAAACACAGAAGGAGATAATTGATGGAATATAGTCCTGATGGACCCCAAGAAACCATATACTGATGCAGACATGTTTTTCTTTGTTTTCATGTTTAACTCCGCCTCTCCCTGTCCTTCAGACTTCCAGAGGTTACCGCTGGATAAAAGAGTGTCCCAGGCTCTGAATGGGGACTTGTACTTTTCAAATGTTCTCCCAGAAGACAGCAGGCCTGACTACATCTGTTATGCCCGCTTCCCTCACACTCAAACCATCCAGCAGAAACAGCCTATCTCAGTCACCGTGCTGGACAGTAAGTCAGGACAATCAATGATCTTCCAGGATTTAAATTGTATCTGGTTAAACCATGCTTCTAGCTGAAAAGATCTTTTGAGTTTAATCTTATGATTTTTTTCCCCTTTTACAGTCACTTTTAATTTTCTTTCTTGCATTTCTACATGTTTTCACTACATTGTAGGATCAATGAGATCTTGTGTTGCTCCTGTTTCAACACCATATGCTGCTTATGCAAATCTGTCTTAGCCTTGATGATTTTTTTGCCGTTCTGTAGTCAACCTTTTCTGAGCTTAAAGGGCTTCTAGCAACATTTGATTTTACAATGGCCATATCTCTGAACTGTTATTCCCACAATGTGTCTGTATGTGTGAGTTTTTGCAACACAATATTATTCTGTACTCACAATGCATTTTCCACAAGCTAATGCATTGGTTGATACACTGCAAAAAAAAAGCCATTGTAAAGTAAAGCATTTCCTGTTTTCTTTCCTAGTTTTGCATGCTTATGCTTTTCTGTTATATTACAGTGGAAACAATGAATGAGACTGTGGCTGCTTTATACAATATCACTGATTTCTATAGTGGTGAGTGCTGCTGGTTTATTCCCATTCAGCCCCCTCAGTGTAAACCCAGCCCTGTTTTTACTCCCTGACCTAACCATACCCAACATACACCTTTAATTGTTGCCTCAGTCCCTTCCTTGGTGACTTTATTAACAAACTCAACATTATTATCTTGTCAGTCTTTTTGTGGAGTATTTACTTATGCAAATTGAGGGTCTAAGGATAGAGAGGGATTTTTGTCAATATAAATCAAAATGACCTGACTATAATGCATGATACTTATTACATGGCAAAATACCAATAACCATTATTGTCTCTGTATGCTAATACCATAAAGCCTAAGATGGTTTAAGGCTGAGCATGCACAACATTAAATGTCAGCTAACTGCATCTCTCCTGGAATCATAAATATGCATACGCAATTCAGACTGATGTCATGATCTGCGCAATCAAGCGCACCCTCAGTGATTACCCACCATGACCCCATATGAAGCATGATACAACACATTATTATTCTAACATGGCATTGCTGACCTTGTTCAAGGAACATTAAAGAAGTCTAGATGCTTCCATTAAAAACTTGAGGGATGTGTAAAGCTGGGGGGTTGCTTTTTGCCAAGAACCCCTGTGTTGCCATAGCAATGAACTGACAGCTACTCCTCCACTTCCTCTTGCTCTCTGATTCTGAGCTTCTGCTCATATGTGATGAGGTATTAAGAAGAAAACTGCTGTTACTTTGTGTTGAGTCATCACTCATTCACTATCCCTTTAATGGACTTCATGCCAAATCACACTGTGACTCTTCATTTGACCGTATATATTTCTACCACCTACTCCCTCCATGAGAATATGAAACACCCTCTGAACTCATGGTGTCACCCAACTCCTTTGGGGGTAACACCTGTGGTAAGAGGAACCTTCAAGTCTAATATCTCTGGGTCTTATTTGATCGTATGTCCTCATGTGTTCAGACAGCCCAGAGGGGGAGCATCGCCCCGGTTTCATGATGCCTCTGGGCACCACCAGCAACAAGATGGTTCTGAGAGGGGAGATTCTGGAGCTGGAATGCATTGCTGAGGGCTTGTAAGTAGACACCTGCTGTAACTTGTATCTATAATCTACATGGAAATTGTATCATACAAGAATGTTCTTAATAAGAAACTGTCAGGGTATTCATTAAACAAGTATTTGATGGCACAAAAAACACAATGCAGAAATAGCACAAAAAGAAACAATTTGTTGTAATTGTCACTATGACAGGCCCACTCCAGAGATCTCCTGGCAGAAAGATGGAGGAGAGCTGCCGGGCAGTAGGACGTCCTTTCAAAACTTTCAGAAAACACTCAAGATTTCGGATGTGAATGAAGCTGATGCAGGGGACTACCGCTGTGCAGCCACAAACAAACTTGGCACTGCACACCACGTCATCAAGGTCACTGTCAAAGGTATACAGTTTAACCTGCTTATTTTCTTGTTTCACTCTAATGATGCACTGTAATTTAATTATATTGTTACATCAGAATTGGGTTGTAGCCTGTAGTTTTGGAATTGGAAAGTAAACTAATTGTAGGGAGTCACAGGGAGTGATTAGATTCAATGTTGATATGAATATAATTTAATTCAGAATTGAGTCACCTTTGACTGACATGTTTTGATTTTACATTCATATGGATGCAAATATTTCTGCATCCCTATACGTCATGTATCAAATGGCTTAGTAAAGTAATTCTCTGAAAAATCTAACTCTGTCTTCTTTATTTCTGTTTATCATCCACAGCGGCCCCTTTCTGGGTCAGCGCTCCCAGGAACCTGATCCTCGCCCCGAATGAGACTGGCATCCTGACTTGTCGAGTCAATGGAGAACCCAAACCGAAGATCAGCTGGTTTGTCAATGGAGTCCCTATAGAGAGTAAGGAAAATTAGACTGTGCTTGCAAAAACAGAATATACTACAGCAGCAGAATTGTAGTGAGAATTGACCAAGCGGTATTTTTTTCCACTTTATAGTATGTTGTAGTTTTACACATATGTGCTGATCTCTACAAACCAAAAAATATAATGCAGAGATGGAGAACTCGTCTCGGAAAAATGATAGGTATACAATATATCCTGTCTCTCATCTTATAATAGATGCACCGGAGGACCCCGGTCGGAAGGTGGATGGCGACACTGTGATTCTTAGCAACGTGCAGTCAGGCTCCAGTGCTGTCTACCAGTGTAATGCATCCAATGAATTTGGGTACCTGCTGGCAAATGCTTTTGTCAATGTTCTCGGTGAGTTAAACTTAATCTGTTTTGTTGCAACTGTAAACAAAATTGAATTGGAAATTTTGGATATACAGGCCAGTGTGTAAGTGCTGATTTAGATAATATTGTGATTCTTCCCATAGCTGAGCCACCAAGGGTGCTCACTCCACCCAACCGAGTGTACCAGGTCATCACCAACAATCCTGCATTACTTCACTGCGCCTCCTTTGGCTCACCAATACCAACCATCACATGGTAAGATTGAGGTTTTCTGTGACTTTTATTTGGAATAATTACATTTCAAAACCTTGTTGAAAAAAATATATTTTTTGTCAGTTTAGCCATTTCCTTATGGATTTTGCTGCACAACACCATTAAGTACTAAACCCATGTTTTCTGTTTCAATGCAGGTTCAAAGACAGTCAGACCAGCGTTAAGAATGGTGACCCTTATGTGATCCATGAGAATGGTACATTGGAGATCCACGTGGCCCAACCTCTGAACAGTGGAAAGTACACCTGCATTGCCACCAACAACCTGGGGATCAAAGAGAATCATGTCTACCTGGAGGTTAAAGGTCAGATATGGACCAGTCACAACTAATACAGTGAGACTGGTGGTTCAACTTTTAGCCTGTCAAAAATACTACTATAGCTCATAAAGAGATGCTATTTTAGACCTCAATAGCCATTAGGTCATGCGGCCATCAAGCTGTATTATTTTTTAATATTAACTCATTGTCTCCATCTTCCAGAGCCCACCCGTATCCTGAAACAGCCAGAGTACAAGGTGGTGCAGAGAGGAATGAGCGCCGAATTCGAGTGTAAAGTCAAACACGACCCATCCCTCATTCCCACCATGACTTGGCTCAAAGACAACGGAGAGCTGCCTGATGATGAGAGGTATAATGACCTTGAGACTCAGAGATTAATTCATTTTAACACTTCTGTGCAAGCTCAGAGAAAAAAAAATGCATTATCACTCTGTGATACTCCATCAGGTTTGTGGTGGACATGGAAAGTCTGATCATCAAAGACGTGACAGATGGAGATGAGGGCACCTACACCTGCATCATGAACACCACCTTGGACCAGGACTCAGCCAGTGCCATGCTGACTGTCGTAGGTACGTTCACAGTTGAACATGCATTCAAGATTCTGCACTCAGCAGGATGTCAGATGTCGGACGTTGTTTTATTGATTTGAAAAAAATCTTTATCAAACTTCAGCAACAGTGAGTGTGAGTTCTAATCTAATTTAGTGTCACATTACATGGTATTGTAGTACAGTATTTCCCTGCTGTTTCTAATATCTGTCACTAACATCTAATATCTTCTTGTACTTTACTCTTGCTTCTCGCTGTCTCAGAGGCTACACCTACTCCAGCTATTGTCTACGGTAAACGATGTCCATAGATTAGGATTTTGTAGCCTCCATCAGTCCTTTTTGTAAAACCGGCAGCATCCATTTCACCGTATTTTTATTTTATTTTATATTGATTGTTTCTTGCTTTATTTCATATTGAACAATTTGATATACATTTATTTTTGTGTAACATAAGGTATGCATTTTACAATTTTTATTTCATTGTGAAATGCACAGTATCTGTGTACCTATGCTTCACCCACACATATGTTTTCACTTACCCTGCCTGATTAGACCTCTTCTCAGGTCTTTGTGGGCATGTGCAGACTGTAATTGATTGCAGAGGTCTAATCAGCCAGAAGGGAAAACACCTGTGTGGGTGTGCCTGGTTTTAACATGTTTAATTGCATGAAATAATGTTGCACTTTTTTAATAGGACCATAAGAAACAAGGTATTCTTGACAAATTACTAAATACGAAGAAATAATGTTAATTGAACATAGGGCAGTGATATGTTTGTCCACAGTAGTTTCAAAGCATTTCAGCACATTGTTCAATTACACATTTTTTACCTTAATTAGATCTAAAGCTACAATATGCATCAGAGTCAAATATTCAGTCTAAATAGTATCAAGGACTAGCTGTAATCAATAGCAGAAAGAGTTTTCATTGTTCTGTGGTTCTGGTCTGCTTGTTGTGTTTGCAGAGAAACCTGACCCTCCGACTGACCTGGAACTGACTGACCAGACAGAGAGGAGCGTTCAGCTCACCTGGATCCCTGGAGATGAACACAACAGTCCCACAGAGAGTATGAAATGTTATAATGCTGCTGCTTTAGTTGTTTGGCAGCAAGTTTATTGAACTACACTACACTACATTTTTCCACTGCCGAACTTGAACTTAGACACTATAGTCAATGAATTTCAACCTTTAAAGCTTGTTAAGTCAGAATCCTCTGACCCCAGGTTTGGGGGAAATAAACAAGACAAGAACATAGTAGTTGGCATGATGAGCAATGAGTTACCATGGCTAAATATACACACTTTACTTAACCTATTAGAAATGTTTTTCTTTTCTGTCCTGTTTCTTTGACGCAGTGGCTGCTTTCGACGAAATTCTTAAACTCTGTGAATTTTTTTTTCTTCCCCAGAGTTTCTGATTCAATATGAGGATCTGCTCCACCAGCCAGGAGTTTGGATCAACCTGACAGAGGTTGATGGTACTGGCACCACCGCACAGTTAAACCTCTCTCCATACGTCTACTACTCATTCAGAGTCCTAGCTAAGAATCGCGTTGGCTTCAGCGAGCCTAGCCTGCCTTCGAGCCAATACAGAACAAACCCTGCAGGTAATAAAAACCTCCATTTAAAAAAACCCTGCAATATGTAAAATGTTAAAAAATATATACACTGATTGAACCATCATTTTTTGGTTTTCCCAGCTCCTGATGAAAATCCATCAGATGTTCAAGGAGTAGGAATAGAGCCTGGCAACTTAGTTATCTCCTGGACAGTAAGCTATAATTTTGTTACATTGGAAATAACTTATTGTGGGCTGATTATGAACTTATTTCTAGTTAATGTTTAATTTTGAAGCATATGCAGTGTAATTAAAGGCTTGGCAAACATTTCACCATAGTCTATATGTATGTACATATTTTTAATATGTGTCGTTTTTCAGCATCTAAAAAAAATAAATATTCTCTGTACAGCCACTGACAGGATTTCAGGCTAATGGGCCCAGTCTGCAGTACAAAGTGCAGTGGAGGCAGAAAGACTCAGATGAGGATTGGATTGAAAGGACTGTGGCCAACGTTTCTCAGATTGTTGTGTCTGGAACTCCAACCTATGTGCCCTATGAGATCAAGGTTCAAGCTTTGAATGATTATGGCTATGGGCCAGAGCCTGGAGCAGTGATTGGATACTCTGGAGAGGACTGTGAGTGAACTAATTATTATTTACTTTTTAGGGTTCAAAAATCTATAAAGCATTTATTTAGCCATTATTGGTCACAGTTAGTTGAAATACACTCTCTCGCTCTTAAAATTCTGCATAGACCTTTGGTCTTTTGGGATTTTACAATGCTTGCAAAAATAAATTCAATGATGCACTGAAAGCTGCTGAGAGCTGCAGACCTGGGTGTTGATTCACAGTGTGACTGGTGATACTAGCACCACTGTACAATACCAGTCATTATGAATGTGAGAATATTTTTGAGGGTTCAGTCAACATAGCTTGCCATTTTGCTTCTCAGGGTAGTGATTGAAAGATCCCAATTACCATTTTTACCACTGAATTTGATTATTTTTAACATACTTTTCAGAAACTTGACTTCATTACAAAAGTCTTTCTCATAATTTGTTTTGGAAGACACATGTAATACTCCATTACTGTGGTGACTTGACACTATATTTTAACTGCTGCTCTCTCTCTCATTGCTCTGCAGTGCCTTCATCAGCTCCCGATAATGTGCAGATCATGGTTCACAACAGCACACTCGCAGAAGTACACTGGGAGCCTGTAGCTTTACCCTCTGTCAGAGGGAAACTACAGGGATACAAGGTATTCTTTCATAAATGCCAATAGTGTTTACTGCTGTACTGTGAAGACAGAAGTCAGAGTGAAATGGCATAATGTATCAAATGTATGACTTTACATACTTGCAGTATGCAAGTTATTGCCTACTTAAAATGTACAGCTCAAGTGTACTGAAAAAGCTAATAAGTTTGATCCATGGTTATAGCTTCATAGTCAAAGAGGCACTTCAACCATTTGCTTTCATCATATAAGGCATATAAATAACATTTAAGAAATGAAACAGACCCCAAGAAATCCATGTATTGAAAGGGGCAGTCCACCAACTTGAATGTTGATCAAAGTGTTTCCACCATGTAGACACCATTATGCAGTAATGCAATGAAGCAGTCATTCATTCATTCATTCATTCATTCATTCATGGAAAACAGCCTTGTGGTCCCCCTCTTTGCCAATCAGGGTGTGACGACGCCCATTCTTGAAGGCATAAGAGATGTGGAACTGCTCACCCAGGGGCATTCTGACCTCACACTATGAGACATAGTCAGCCCGAAACTCTGTTTTTTAGGAACCCCTGAGATTTCTTTGCTGTCTCTCTTGTTGCCTTAAAGTGTTTGAGAATTGTTACTATTATTTATTATTTGTTAATTCAAAGTTGTTTAATGGCATGTTGGATGTCATGTCATTTTCAGGACCTGGAATAAATATATATATTATATTATATTATTAATAACTAATTATTATTGTCTTTTATTTTACATGTTTAGCTTAATCAAGCTTGAATTAATGTAATCACACTATGTGTAGGTTGACATTATGAAACAGGTTCTGTTTGAAAGGCTCTCTCAAGCCAAGCTTTTTACCATAAGCCTATCTGCATGTGTGCATGGTACCCTCACCATGATGATGAGGGAAAAACAGAACTATTGTGCACATCAGACTAATGTAAGTATTAACTCCTGGTGTCTTTCCTCTAGGTATACTACCGTCGCGAGCGGGGCGTGCATGAGACAGAGGTGGAGACGGAGCAGCAGGAGCAGGTTTTGACATTTAGTGGGAATCGTAGCGAGGGACGTCTGCCAGGCCTCGAGCCTTACAGCCTCTACAACCTCTCCATCAGGGTCCTTAATAACAAAGGAGAAGGGCCTCCTAGCCCCAGCAAGAGGTTCGAGACACCTGAAGGAGGTGTGTATAGCTAATGTTGGCTGACATGGTAGTTCTACTGGCCTAGAGCATCATGCATATAGACAATGGATGATCTTATGTTAAAGGTCACCATGTCACCTTTCATGTAATTCTTCTGGCAGAATAATCCCCCGCTCAGTTTTGGAAGTCTTTGGAAAATTTTTGGGAAAAGTACTTTAAGATATTAATTAGGTCATCACTTTGAATTTGATTGCACTACATCAGCCTCTATTTGTTGATACTACGAATACTACAGCTGCTGTTACGACTACTATGACAACAACCTAGCTGTGTTGCTCAAATTCACCATAACAACCCCCAATCTATCCTAGAAACCACCCAGAGCATCCATGAAAACAACCCAAAAAACCTATAGCTACACCCTTGCAACCCATCATGTTACCCCCATGAAACCTCATGGAACACCCTAGCAACAAAGTGGCCTACCGCTCATACGGTCCGTGTTGTGCTCCATAGCCACTATCTTATGCTAATAAAATATGGAGAATGCATCAACGACAATATTCCCAAAGCATTAAGAAATTTGAATAAAAATAATATACTATATATAAACATCCCTAGAATGGGTCCTGTGCAACGTTCTGATCCTGACAGTGGTTGTGGGTTTTTGTTTTCAGTCCCAGGGCCTCCTGCTTTTCTGAATGTCATAAACCCTGGTTTGGACTCTCTCACTCTTGAATGGGGCCCACCAATGAAAAACAATGGACGTCTTGCTGGATACATACTGAAATACCAACCAGGTAGACTTACCAGCTGCCTGACACGCTGCCTGTTGTGTTCTATGCATTGTACATTTCTAACATCAGCCTTTTCTACTTTTGACTTATTCACCGTTTCTCCGTATCACTGCAGTCAACAATACCAATGAACTGGGACCAGTTAAGGTCAAGAACTTCCTAGCCAACGAGACCACCTTTACCTTGGACAACCTGAATTCCAGCATGCTCTACAGGTTTACCTTAAATGCAAAGACAATCAAGGGCTCTGGCCCCACCATCACCGAGGAGTCCTTCACAGCTATGGACACAAGTGAGTTATTTACACGGTAGCCATTTAGCTTCATATGTAGCAAATTACATGCATACAATAGGAAGAAAAGGTCAAAGTCCTATATCGGTGGCATTTAAGCCAACAGAATGTGGAGGGCAAGGGTCAGAATCACAGTGCCCTGACAGATATTGGGGATTCCTGTGAGTTTAAAAGTACAACCATGAGCTCCTACCGCATTCCACACCTTACACCCCCTCTATCTCTTTCTCTGTTTTTCTTCTTTCTTCTGAAGTTCGTACTCAGCCCACTGTAGAGGCGGGCAAAGGTAACCCAAGTTTGCCACTGGAAGCACCTGCATGTTATCCTTACCATCAGATATTAGAAACAGAAAAAGAGCTTAGATGTTACCTTTTGTTTAATTGCCCCTGCATGTTACTAAGTTAGCATGTCTGAAAACTTCCTGTGTAAATAAATAGGGTTTAAGTGTGACAGACTTCCATGGCATCTGCAAGCAACCATGCTTGTGTCCTGTTTTGAGAGAATAGGTTGCTCTTACTGCAACATAGTTTAAAATCTCTGGTTTTGTAAATTAGCTGTGCTTGCAGTATTCACCTCCTTGTATTTGCTTTCTTCAAATGAACATATTTTCATTTGAAGCCTCGGGCATGATGCTTGTGAATGCGTATGTTTCAGTCCAGTACTAACACAGTTTATATATAGCTACTGATAAACTTATGTATGTGTATGTACGTAACTAGAATTTGATTTAAATACTGTGTGCCGTATTGCTGTGATTCAGAGTTGGTCAGTTTATTTAGACTCTGAACTTAACTCAGAATCTCAGGATTGAGAGGTGTTGCAACATGTTTTTACTCGGCATGCAACTTTCTCTGTAAAATGGAGGCTATTCAGTTTTTACTGTATGGCGACTATTGTGGTGTGTATATGTGTTGTCTCACTTTTTCCATGTTCTTTCAGGCCCCACAGAGCCCCCTCACCCAACCTCCCCCATCACTCAGTCTCCGCCTCCCCCGTTTCACAAGGGTACAAGCGCACTCCCTGTGTCCCCCCTCTACCCCAAATATCTGCACATATTGCTCTGCCCTGCAAAAAATGGTCAATCTCAGCAAAGGAGTTGGTTCTTTTCAAATAATAGCTTCATTATTGGCTTTAATCAACTTTTTAAAAGTTCAGTAAAGTAGATGTCTATTCTATATTTCTCTCACCTAACTGACTCGTTTGATTTCTTTTAAAAGACTAATATGGCCTCACTGAGATGACCATTTTTAGCAACTATATAACCGACCTGTTTCTATGTGGTGGCAGGATTTTATTCACTACACTATTCTGAGTTTGTGTTTTTCTCACATTACAAAAGCAGTGTTGCCATGTATTGTATAGTGGGACATTTTTCTAAAACTAACATACTAAGTGGGACAGAAACAGCCAGATGTTACCTGAATGTAGTAGATTTGTAGGCACCAACTTTATCCTGAATACTGGAATATTGTATGATTATTTCTTTAGAATGTTATTTCTACTCCTGTACTTAAGCTGCCTATCAGTATTTCAAAGGTTATTTCATATTAAGGTATTTTAATGAGCTGGGAAGGTTTGAATTAAAGCCCTTGATTTTTATTTTTTTTTCTCTTGTGTGCTCAGTGGCACCTATAGGCCCTGCATTTGGCACAGTTAACACATCTGTGTCGGAGGACGGTGCAGTGATCAGTTGGGATTACTTTGGACACCATAAGAATGTATATGTGGAATATATTGTAGAAAACAGTAAGGCTTCACTTTGTATTTGCAGTCATCTTAAAACATCAGTGCATGCAGTGATTGGCTGTCTGTAATTGAATCAGTCTGATCATAAATACTGTCCCTGAAAATAGGTCCCTGAATCTAATTCGTCTCCATCCACTACACCAATTCTAGGTAAAGAGGACTGGAAAAAGGAGTTGGTAAACGGTTCACACTGGCATATGATAAAAGGTTTAAAGCCGGGGACATCCTATAGAGTGCGCGTGGTAGCTAGAGACCCGGCTGACCCGACGGTCCACAGCACAGGGGAAGTGTTGGTTGCGGTGCCAGGTGAGGCGGCATGCCTCAGGATAGATGGTCTTTGTGTTGTTTAATTTTGCCCGTGTCATTTTCTCATCCCCTCTCTGTTTAAGCACTGTCTCATTATCAGACATACGATGCTACATTCAGATGTGAATGTACGGTAGTTAGTTTGCTAGTTAGTGTACCAGCATGTCGCCATAAAGTTGGTCTAATGCATGTCAATTAAAACCATTACTAAGAGGTCCATTATTTTACTGTTGTGGCTTTTGTTTGTTTTTGTCATGTTTACAGCAGCTCATCATTCCATATTAACCCATTTTAAAATTTCATTTGTGTTTACAGCATCTGTTAATTTCAGTGTTGCTCAGCATGAAGAAAACAGACTACACTCTTTTTTAGCAACTTGGATTGAGATTTGGTTTGAAAGCTATTGCTTACAATTTGTCTCATCTTTCCTCACTATCTGTGTGTTCAGCTGTACCCAGCCGGCAGGTCGACATTGCCACCCAGGGATGGTTTATTGGACTGATGTGTGCCATCGCTCTCCTCATCTTGGTCCTTCTCATAGTGTGCTTCATCAAGAGGAACAAGGGTGGCAAATACCCTGGTAATGTGCACATTTTCACAGTAAATTTAAGTGTATTGACATGTGTGGATGAAATATTGAGGAAATAAACTGTGTAATCTTCAGTGAAAGAGAAAGAAGATGCTCACCAAGACCCCGAGATTCAGCCCATGAAGGAGGATGATGGGACGTTTGGAGAGTACAGGTGAGAGATCAGACAGTAAAGGCTAAGATAGGACCACACCATACAGTAGTGTGTGTAAGATTTCTTTTTTCATTCATTGTGTCCTGACTTGCCTGTCTGTATGTAGAACATTTTACCAGGCTGCAGAGACACTCTCCCCACCAGACTTCATTACCAAACACTCCATAGAGGCAAGGAAAAGATCTGCACTACTGTTGATTCCTATAATGACCAACTCACCTGCACACTGGCCATCTAATCAACAGCTTTATATAATGCATAACAAGTAATCTAATCTCTGGCTGAGTCACTTTGTAACTGTTCTCAAAAAGATTGTAAAACAAATTCCATCACATTTGACAGTTTTCCATCACATTTCCACATTTTTGTAGGAATATATCTAGAATTCTAGAAAATCTAGAAGGCTACTCAGGATTTTGGAGGCCTAAAAGTTGGTAAAAAGTAGTTGCTTTGAATGAACTATGTAATAACTTAATATGGATATCATTGTGCTTTAAATGTTTCCATATGCATGCTTTGTCATGTCTGTGTCTAAAGTGCATAAAAGACACTCATTGTGGCTCATGAATTGCTTTTCATATGTCCTTCCATTCTTATCTTTGTTTTTTTGCGAGTTTAGGTCTATGGAGAGGTAAGACAAGATGTGGCATAAAAACGCCATGCATGCAAGCAATGTTTCTGACTTTGGTGCAACTAAAAGCAAGGAGAAAGCACATCAACTGATCTGGTTTTACTATGTCATCATTCTCATTGGCATAGTCAAAACCATAACCACAGTCATGACATTAACACTAAAATGTAACATTTAAAAGTACTGCTTCTAGCTTCATTTAATTTTTAAGATGCAAATGCATTGAGCTTGAAAATGGAGTCAAAATGTTTGAGATTGAGATTGTAGAGCTTGCATAGTATTAACAGGAATTATACGTTTTTTAGACCAAATGAACATACTGACAGATGGTAACAGGTTGTATCTCTGGGGAGGAAAGTGCATTTTTGATTATTGCATGTAAACTGAAAGCATATTGGTTGATTTTATTCCAAATATTGTACATAAAGGTATTGCAAGAGACTGAACAGCACGCATTTGCAAAATCCCCTTTAGCAGTGGTCACTAACCCTAAAACTGCACCCAGGCTTAAAACAGCACTAACACTATAGATAATACTATAAAATGCTATAGCTATGTTTTAGGCATTCCATTGTTTGGCCGTTGTGCATTATAATAACACTTTATATATAGTAAGCAGTTGTGTATCTGTTGGCCTATGGCACAGGGGCACTTCAAGCACATTGGTGCTACACTTGAGCCCAACTGTGTACAAAACACAACAGCAATATATGTGTTTATTATATGTGGCCTTTGTGTGGGTGGGAAAGCCAGATTACTCATGTAAAATGCTAATGCTTGGATAATAGCCTGTCCTCTGTGGCACCAGGGTTTCTAACCACTGCAGAAAAAGTTCAATAAACTGCCTAAATTGTTTTCTCAATAACCTTCCTTCCAACCTTTTCCTACCCTTTTATAGTGACACAGAGGACCACAAGCCGCTGAAGGGCAGTCGGACGCCGTCCAATGGGACAGTGCGCCGTGACGAGAGCGACGACAGCCTGGTGGACTACGGGGAGGGCGGGGACGGACAGTTCAATGAGGACGGCTCCTTCATCGGCCAGTACAGCGGCAAGAAAGAGAAAGACACGCACGAAGGCAACGAGAGTTCGGAGGCCCCATCGCCTGTCAACGCCATGAACTCGTTTGTCTAACAAAGGGGCCGCGGCCTGGCTGGGATGGTTGCTATGGCCCACGCCTTGTCACCCTGGCAAATGTGACCATGGGGACTGTCTCTGCGGTGACAGTTGCTAAGGTGACAGTCGTTGTGGACACCTACTCTCACCATGGTGGCTGTCACTTCGGTGGCCATCCCCATGGCTACCTGTCATCAAGACTGCTGATAACGCCCTCATCTCCACACCCGCCAGCCCCTGTCACACTGTGACCTCCTCTGATCAACACACACTCAACATGGCAAAGACCGACACCACATCTCCCCACCCATGAGCATTGAAAGAAGGTGTGAAATGAGGGATGCAAGGACTCTGAGAAGGAGAGAGGAAGCAATATAGAAAAGCAGAAGGAATGTACCAGAAGAGTTGTACCACTCAGACTGAGCAGAAGTGGCCGTGTGTGTGTGTGTGTGTGTGTGTGTGTGTGTGTGTGTGTGTGTGTGTGTGTGTGTGTGTGTGTGTGTGTGTGTGTGTGTGTGTGTGTGTGTGTGTGTGTGTGTGTGTGTTATTGGCATTTGATCTCCTTTGCAAACATACTAAACATGATGTATCCAAATATATATTTTATCAAAGTACAGTACACGACCCGCAGGCAGGCAAATATGCATTGAATCACACTCATGAACACCTGCATGGAGTAAATCATGATTCTATTAAGCATTTTACCATCCTCGTGTCAGTTGTTGCAGAGGTGATCTGTGTGAGACTGTATATGGTGCACGCCTACTAGTGACTGGATTATGCCTCTTTTATTGTTTTGTTTGTTTTTTCAAGTGTTCAGTGGCGTATGATATATAGAAAAAATGGCAGCAGTGTCTTTATGGACACTGCTGTGAAATGTGACTCAAAGTAGAAGCTAGCATATGTCTTTTTGAGACAGATGAACTGTTTGTACATATGTAATAGAATAAGAAGAAAGCTATATTTCGAGGTCAGGGATGTCCCTTTGTAGTCATTGGAAAACCTGGCTAGAACCACTTTGAACTCAGCGTTTGGTCATTCCTTATCACACCTACCAGCCAGCCAGAACTCCCACATCCTTTTCCAATCGGCCCGTTTCTAGCCTCGTGTTTTCTCAAACTTGTTCTTTGCTTGCATTTTTTTTTTTTTTTTTGCTTTTCTTTCCCCGATCTGTTCCTTTTACACCAAGCCTATGCTTCTTGTTACTGAGCACTAACTTAACACAAGTGGAGGTGTGATCCAGTGTCATTGTCAAGTGTTTCCACCCCAAATCGTGGCCACTGTGCAGATATTTGTTTTTAGGTTATGGTATTGGCAGAACTAACCGCTGCCCCGACCTTGTTTTCGATAGCATTTCCACCTATCTGCTGTGTTTGATGGCAGAACAGACAGAATAAGACGTTACATGTAGAGGTTTACTGACAGTAGACACTGTAGTTTCTGGATATTTAGATGTCGATGATCAAGAACCTCTCAGCACGGTTTCTAGTGCCTTTGTAGAGAACAGTGACTTACATCCATAGAATTACATCCCTCTTCATATACAGGACACACCTGGGCTCAGTGCAGTTTATATAGTCCATCAATACAGTACATACAGAATAGTATCCCATCTTAATCTAACGACAACTTTGAAGGCTATGCGAGTATTCAAGAGTACATTAAACAAAAAATAAGCTCTAAGGGGTTCCGCTGATGTTGAAGAATTTTGTTCATTAACAGTACGACCCTTTATTGTGAGCTATGTGGTCATTGAGGATTGCAAAACATTAACTTTAAATGGCCTCGTTGAGTCTTTCAATAGTTTTCAACAGGAAATTCTAGAAATTGATTCCAAAATGACCTTTTTCAGTCGTACGCTGGCATTAGTTGTGAAGAATAATTTTCAGCTATTGTTATGGCCTTGTCGACAATCATACACCCGGTTATCATCAGCCCGTGCAACAGACCTATCCGGCTAAGAGGTAAAGACTGAAGAAATGTGTGGTATATTAAAGCGAGTAGGAAACTTCTGAGCATGGACGCCTTGTGAGATGTCGTCATGTGTTCATTTCAGACATTGTCCTCCTAACACATTCATCTTGAGGAGGAGCTGCTGCCCAGCAGCATTAAACTACTGCCAACCTACTCACCAGGTAACTGCCAACAGGAACCAGACTCACCATCTGGCTATTATCAGAACGGGACTAACTGTTACTGGTAGCACTTAGAAATTAAGGGGTCGGAAACTTGCGTAATGAATACTGAATGTGGAAACAAGTGTATCTGTTTATGTGAATGAAAATAATTGCTTGTTTCACTGCAAATGGTAAAACACACTGGTGACTTTGGTTTATGCATTTAACCTTATATCTGTGTATGTTGTCACGTTCTGAGCGCAGCACTCAGTGAGTTTTATATTCCTGTAAATGAATGAAGCTTGTGTGTGAATGTTTGGGTGCATGAGTGTGTGTATGTGTGTGTGCGCGTGTGTGTGTGCAGCACATGCATGCTACTGTGTTACAGCGTGCGTGATGTATACTACCGCTTTCAATTTCCATGGATAACCGTCTAATTCTGATGTGTGTCCTGCAGTCTGCTCTCAACAGGAGATACAAGACTTTTTTTTTTTCCAGAGAACATTTCCACGTCTTAGGTTTATCATAACTTGCATCAAGTTTTTAGGTTTGCGATGTGTCAGCTTTCACGTGTAGATATTTTTGTTGTATTTTGTAAATAATGGCTTGAATTGAGCGTAGATGTGTTGAGGTCAGAGGTGAGAGCTTTGACCTCAATTGACCCTGCTGCATTATGGGTAGGAGGGCGTTGTGTGAGATGAGACTATTTACAGTTTTCACTCGTTCATTTGCTGTGAAATTTCTTTAATTTCTTTCATATTTTCTTTTTTTAACTTGCCAGGTGGATTTGCTAGCTCAAATGTTTAGCCTATCAGGTATCAAAGGAGATTATTTAACTTGTGACTGAGCTCTTGTGACACCTGTATTGTTTCTGTCTCTGACAGTTCATGCACCTTTTTTTTCCTGTATTTTTTTATAAAAAAGGTACACACTTCAACAAGAGGTATCACTCACACCTCTGCGTGTCTAGTTTACAACAACAACATCTGGTGTCTGAACACGGCTGGAAACTGAAAACTGTTGTCCTAAACTAGACATCAGGTGACACTAATACATCCTTTTTTAAGAGTGTGCATCTAAAAAAAACAAAACTGTAATTTGGAGCATACAGAAGGATGGCCGGCATGGAACAGATAAGCGGACTGGCACATCGGAGTGTGAAAACCCTGGAAACAATGTTCTAGTGACTGGTGAACATACAGTAGGATATACAGTATATGATATGATATAATATGACATTCTGGTTAATGTTGAAGCTATACGAGAAGCATGAAAGGCTGTCAAAATGGTTTACTCTACAATATAATATTGCAAAATATTTTGTATTTTAAATGAAGTTTAAAAAAAATGAAATAAATGTTGGTTTCAGGATTTCAAAACAGTCATGTTTTTTTTTTTTTTTTTTGTGGTCATGCATGCAGTGCGACATAGGCTACTAAAGTGTGTGTGAGTAGCTCCACCCAGTGTATGAAAATGGGAATTGTTTTTTATGGGTTTTTTTGCCATGGAGAGATATAAACCCCCAAAAGTTAATCCATTGAAGATTAACATGCATTTGCCGTGTTAGTGCATGCGCAGTGGGCCTGTTTTTTATTCTTCTTGAAAGAGCTCTGCTATGGTTTCTATGTTTTCTTTCCGAGAGGACAGCCAATCACAAAATCTAAGTGCTTTTAAGATTAAAACGTCAATCTGAAGATTCTAAACTTGTATTTGTCACATGCACAAATAAGAATTAGAAAAGAGATTTAAAGTATTAAAAAAAAGCTAAGATAAATAATAAATATATGTAATCCTAATGTGTGTATTGTCTCAACACAAAGGTGGACTATTTATAACCATCATGCAACTATCTTTTTCCAAAGAGTCTCATTGTAGAGGATAAATTCCTATCACATATAGTCACGCAGCTGGTGTCTGGAATCATTCATTATTAATTGATATGAAGGTCATTTAGGATGCAGAGCACATGTTGGGGAGCAAGATATGGACAATAGAGTCTATGCACCTTTCCTACATCTTCCTACAGCCTAACTAAAGCCTATATTAATGCACCTGAATATTCCCATTAAGACCTATTGCGTGTGTCCGTGTACATAGACTCACTGTATTTCTTACACTTGTTGGGAAATCAAATAATAGGTAGGCTACTAAAGTAATCCATCCATCTTAAAAGGATTCCTGTTCTCAGTTTATTAAAAAGCTCAACTTTAATTTCTGCAAAGGTTTTATTTCCCTTGTCTGGGATGCGTAGCACCATGATGCTCACATCCCTCCCATCCTCCCTTTGTCGTGGACCAATCGCAACCGCATCCTCGTTGCCACACAGAGGTGTCACTCCGCCGCTGTCCTCCAATAGAAAAGTTGCGCTGAACGGGACGCTCCGGCGGGTGGGCTGTGGGATGATGCGGTTCGGGTCCAGGTGTGCCATGCGGACAGTGTACTGAAATTCCCCCCTTTTTCTGCCTAAAAGGTAAGAACCACACCACATGCGAGTTTGTGCATGACCTAAGTGGCTCTTGTGTCTGGAGTTGAGTGAGGATACACCGGAGTGTGTTCAGCGCTGTAGTGCAGAAGTGGACCGGCACAGGAGTACCGCAATGCAGAGCAGTGAATTACCGGTGCCGCTCAGTCGTCATTGGGGTGAAGTGATGTAAGGGTGCTGCGCAGATGCTCTGTAGAGGCTGCATTGGGGTTTTTTTTTTTTTTTTAAATGACTGCGACAAAGTGAGCGCTGTACAATTTAAAAGAAGGTTTTTGCTTCTCATCCTGCACTTGTAGTCATGCAAGGCACATGCTGATCTGAGAAAGTGTGTTTCAGTGGGGCAGGGAGGAGACGCAAGGTGGGAAGAGTCAGATACTGAATGCGTCAAGGGCGCAGGAAGCTGCTGGGTGCACCATGCCATCTCTGTGGTAAAGGACTGACTGTCCTTCATTGGCAGGAGGGCAACTCCCTTATAAATCAGTGTTTAAAGGTTGAATAATGTAGGGTACTGTAATAAAGTCTGTAGCTATTGAGTCTAAAGTCACATTAAGGTATAAAATATATTTGGTTTTAAACTAAATTAAATATTGCAATAACTATTACGACATAGATCCACATATATCATCAGAATCTGAATTTCTTTTCACTGCCTACAGTGTCCACTGGACTATAACAGAAAAATACAGAATGTACCACAGTCCAAGGATAATTTAGCCACTCCCATTTTAGATGTCAGAAATGAATAAAACTGTCATGGGTGCAACATGTTGAGAGGAAAGGGGGGTACTTCTCCCCTGATATCCTAAACGTGAGGCCGTATTTTCTTATGACATATTCTAGCTTGTGTGGTGCAGAAGAGCCAGAACCAGCACACTCATTCACTGAAACAAATCAAAGGAAGCCCACTTTCATCAAGTCTCCTCTAACCCAAACATTATTCATCCTCTTGTTGAATTCAGTCTCGACTTTCAATGGGATTTTTCTACAAACAGTTATTCAGGCGGTCACTAAGACACTGAGCTTAATACATGTGCTGACCTAAATTTCACTGCCCTGTCCAAAGCGGATCTGTGATGGGATTATTGCGAGAGGAAACACATGAAAACACACTCCGATGAATTGATTAGAATTAGTGGTAGAACAGATTGCTGCAACAATAATCTATAATGCCAAGGTGGCTTGATAGATTGTTGTTGCAGCAAATATATATCTATTTATATAAGTGTCCTGGAAGCTTGAGGTCTAAACTTTATTGATTTTTGAATATGTTATCTCACTCTCTCTCGCTGCTAGCCTACTCCCTCTCAAAGATAAACAGTCTGAAGTCATACAGCCATTCAAATGCAGGATAGATGCAGCCCCCCGCTAGTATACTGTTATATTATTGTTGAGTCATCAAGAGTGCATGTATACTGGGTGTAAGCCTCTGCCCTCCCTCTTTCTATTTCTGTGTGCTTGAGACAAACATGGCTGCTGAGGCACATGGGAGGAGGCTGTCTGGCAATTTTTACCCTTTTTTTATATCTTCTCACATCCAGAACGACTCAGCAAAGACTGTCCGGCTGCTCCTCTAACTGGAGGATAGACAAGCATTTGCCACAATAGTTACCTCAAAAACTTACCATTAAATACATTTTTTTTAAAAATTCATATTAAATAGTAAGTTTATACTTTTTTTTAAGAAGAAGTTACCATTTGTTTTTTTTATGTAATATTACATTTATTTCCCAGAATTTTAGCGTTTTGGACTCTTGCATATCTAAACATTTCTAAGGGAAGATTGCTGTGGGTTTACTGTTCCTGATCATATTCCCTTGGCTTCTGACACTATAGGAAGATTATCAGATGTAGCCTGAGCTTTGATCTGACTGTTTAGTGCAAAGGTTTTGTCCAAAAGCTCTATGATGCATTTTGGAGTCAGCAGAGGTATGTAGAGCGTAGTGTATCCTCACCCGTGAACACAAACTTCAAGAAAACGCAGCTGTGCTCTACAGTAAACAATATATTAATGTTGTGTTAATGTCATGCTGGACAAGTGAGAGACTATAACAGGCCGATCCTAGGTCCTGCTCCTTTTTGCTCTGAGCTCTGATAACTATTGAGCAAGCCTCTGTTAACTTTCTTCTTTCCTGTACGCCAATTTAACCTGCCCTACTCTGCCTCTGATTGGCTAGTACTCGTTTGCCTTCATCGGCTTGGTTCAGGTCTTGGTTGGTATAGGCATGAGGAGTGAGATTAATTGGGGTTAGGATGAAAATGTCTGGGTAAGCCTCCTGGAAGCGCATCCTAGAGGGCACTGTTTGTCCTGTTTGACATTGAAAGTTGAAACACTGCAGTCGCAGCTGTACTGCCATCTCATCCTGCAGAAGTGATGTGTAAGCATGTGTAACGGCACAACAGGGGCCGTCTTCTGCAGTGCTACCTTATGTTTTGTTAACAGACAGCCTTGTGTGCAGATCTGTGTCTCTGCCGGTGCATGTCCTGGTGGATGTGCACGCGCTTTGCATGACTACTTGTAGTGTTCTGCTGAGTCACTGACATCCTGCATCATTTATGTACACCGGGAGGATTTCAGCTCGTTCTGCACTCGGTTTCTAGTGTGGACAGTGATGCACAGTCATCAGTTATTATATCTTAAATGTCACATAAGTGTTATGTAATTATAATAATAATAATAATAATAATAATAATAATAATAATAATAATAATAATACACTGTTGCCACAATAAGGGCTGATCATTTTACACACGATGTTCTAAGCAGCAGTTCTGTTTCTGAAAGCCTCAAATCTTTTTTTGTTTCTTATTCAGCCCTCTCCAGTTCATGTCCTGCCCATCGTTTTCTTATTTGTGTCCCTCTGCACATCCACCAAGCTCACGTGGCTGCAGTAAGTGGGTTTTCTGACTGTCATGGCTTCCACTGCTTTTCTGCTCCTGGCCCTCTCCTCCTCCGTCTCCCTCACAGGTAAGAGGCACAGTGATGCCTAAAACTGTTCCCCCTAAAATTCATAACAACAAGAATGTCAGTACTACCTGCGCATCATTAGCTAACATGACTATGTTTTTGCTTTGCAGTGGCAGTCCTATTTGGTGAGCCCAGAATTTATGGAGGTGAGTTCAGTTTCCTCGGATTTGTTGTCCAAATGAGTCAGGACAAAAAAAACACTGCATGCAGCACAATGTTTGAGGGTGATTTGTAATTAGCACAGAAGCTGATTGTTGTTTAAAATTTGTCAGAGGATGCTACTGGATATGGCCCCATCTTTGAGGAGGAGCCTGTAGATGTGGTCTACACTGAGGACTCACCCGATGGGAGAATCTCTATGAACTGCAGGGCACGGGCTAATCCACCTGCTACATACAGGTTACACACACTAAAGATTTTCATTCAAATCATTAATGCTGTAAATTTTATGTATTTTATATAGATTTAGATTTATATAGATACAGGTTAGAATTGTTTTGAATTGCTGCCAGGTGGCGCCGGGATAACTGGGAAATCAAGCTGATGGAGCAGCCGGACGAGTACTACAGCCTTGTGGGGGGGAACTTGGTTATCACCAACCCCAGACAGAAGAAACATGCTGGGACATACGTCTGCGTGGCCAGGAACATCTATGGCACCGTCATCAGCAAGGAGGCCAGGGTCAAGTTTGGATGTAAGCATTTGAACCCTGCTAGTCTTGGCTGGCACCAGGATTTTTTTCCTGGTGCTCCAGCCTGTCCTCTCTACCTTGTATGGGATCTTTTTGCTGCCAAAATTACTGTTTTGGCTCAGATGTTTCTTGGGTTATGCCACATTAGATGCTGACTCGAATTCGTTCCTATTCCTATATTTCTTTGCTAGATTTATCTCAATTTATTCTCCCCAAAAGTAGTACTAGAAAAACTTAAAAGTTTAGTTGCCTATCCCTTTTATAATTGAAATTGTGGGCGTAAATTAGCTGGATGTTGATATGGAGGTTTTGTGCTACATATACTGTAAATCTACCTTTCAGTTCTTCAAGAACCACCAACTTATCACCCACTTTAGTTTTGCCTTGAATTACTGTCATCTCAGTTTTGACCTGAAGTCAAATTGAACGGATCTTCAAATTGACCTAAAAGATACAATGTTAAGAATATCAAAACTGCCCTTCCTGTTTGAAGTTTGAGTAGTGTCTTTATCCTTTATTTTCTCCTCATGTGCGATGTAGTTGTTGAGGAGTTTCCCCAGGAGGAAAGAGACCCAGTGTATGTCAAGGAAGGACAGGGAGCTGTTCTGCTGTGTGCCCCTCCAAAAGCCTGGCCACGTATGTACAGGTCTTCATGTCTCCATTAGATAAGTCAGTCTTGTGAAGGTAACAATGACAACTTTTTCATGTCCCTCTGTCTTTTCCTTTACAGAGGAGGTGACCTACCGCTGGATCTACAACGAGTTCCCAGTTTTCCTGAACACAGATCGCCGTCGGTTTGTATCCCAGAAGACGGGGAACCTGTACATCTCCAAAGTGGAAGCTCAGGATGCAGGAAACTACTCCTGCTTTGTTTCCAGCCCTGTCACTGGGAAGAGTGTCTTCTCCAAGTTTATCCCCCTCATCCCCTCACCCCCTGAAGATGGTTAGTAGAAACTAGTTGTGCTGCAGCTTAACAGGAAAAACCTCCTTAACATATGTTGCAGACTTAATCAGAATTAAGGGATATATGTATTACAGAAAAAGACACAGTATCTCTTGCAACATTTGGATAAAACATACTTTTTTGGCCTCAGGTGAGGAGAGAAAGTACCCAGCAGACATCAGGGTGAAGTTCCCAGATACTACTGCCATGCTGGCCACTAATATTACATTGGAGTGCTTTGCTCTGGGAAAGTAAGTCTCCATGTCTCTTCTCTTGATGTACTGAATTATTGAAGTACAGGGGCTCATGAGATTCATGCTTTCACACAGACACTGGTTTATTTGAAGATAGCTGTTGATATGTGCATTTGTCACCTTTATTGAAAGCTTGAGTTTAATTGTAATTTAAGTTTGTCTGAATTCAATCAATTTGATATTTTTTGTGTCTTTTTAGCCCCATCCCTCATATTGTTTGGAGGAAGGTGGACCACACTGACCTCCCACCAAATCATGAGATCAGTGAATCAGGAGCTGTGCTTCATCTGTACAATATACAGTATGAAGATGTGGGAGGATATGAGTGTGAAGCCATCAACACTAAAGGAAAGGACTGGCACAAGGCCTGGCTGTATGTGGAGTGTAAGTGATGTCACTGCATTGTTATACCAGCTTTAGATTGTAGAGCGTACTCAGTGTAGAGATTATTTCTTATAATTGAATCTACCCATGACCTTTATGAGATAAAAATAGAAATAAATGGGTATTTTGGACAGCACTAATGCAACAAATGGCACTTTTGTTTTTGTAGCTGCTCCAGAGTGGGCGGAAACCATCAACAACACTCAGATTGACATTGGCTCAGAGCACACCATGCGCTGTGTGGCATCAGGAAAGCCGTTCCCTTTCATCCGCTGGTACAAAGATGGATATATGGTAAAACCTTATACATATTGCCATCTTCAGTTAAAGACATTGTGGAGTACATGATATCAGCTTAGTTTTTGTGCTTTGAAACCATACTCAAGTTTACATTTCGGTTGTGTGTGTGTGTGTGTGTGTGTGTGTGTGTGTGTGTGTGTGTGTGTGTGTGTGTGTGTGTGTGTGTGTGTGTGTGTGTGTGTTTTCCAGTATGGGAAGGGGGAGCTGAAGTTTTCCAGTCTCACTTTCGATGACTCAGGAATGTACCAGTGTATCGCTGAGAACTACTGGGGCATCAAATACGCCAACGCTGAGCTGCGAGTCATTGGTGAGTCAGTTGTGTTTGAAACAGTTTCAAGGACAGCTGTAAAATTGAATTGTATATTGGTGCACAATAATCTAAATTCCTTTTTGCTAGAGGAAAGGTAAGAGTGGGGACAATTACAACAATTCACAATTTAAATCTCCCTTCAGCCTGCGCTCCTACATTCAAGTTTAACCCTGTGAAGAAGCAGCTTCTTGGAGCTAAAGATCGTCGTGTTGTGATCGAGTGTAAACCCCGCGCTGCTCCCAGACCGCGGTATACCTGGACAAAGGGCAAAGAGCTCCTCTACAACAGCTCACGGTCAGTCCAACTTATAATATACTCAACAATAAGTTGGGGTTGCAGCCACTAAGCTTAACTTATCTTTTAATTTGTAGCATTTCCATCCTGTTCGATGGGAGTCTGGAGATCCTCAACGCCACCAAAAATGATGAGGGCCTCTACACCTGCTTTGCTGAGAATGACAGAGGAAAGGCCAACAGCTCTGGCTATCTCACCATCACAGGTCAGTCAGTATGCACATACGTGCGGTCAGTGAACATTAGCAGTATTCTTGGATTTGTATAAGGGTTTAAACTTTATTTGTGATGCTTCTTTTTCTTAGAGGCTACCAGCATCACAGAAGCACCTGAAGACACTGAGGTAATGGTTGGTGATGAGGTGATTCTGAGGTGTGCTGCTTCATACGACCCCATGCTGGACATCGCATTCATCTGGGCCATAGATTACAGGGTCATCGACTTTAACGCTGAGTGGCAACACTATGAACGTGTTATGGTAGGGTGATGGTTCATCCTAGCCTCATTTAACATCTTAACTTCTAAGATGTCTCACAATTGGTCCCTTGACATGCTGCTGGTATTGTGACCTAATGACGATTTAACAGTATTTTCTTTCTTCGTTTTTCTTTCCCTTTCTCTTTTATGTCCTTGTCTTTGCCTGCTGTTGTTCAGAGTGATGATGGCAGCGGTGACCTGAGAATAATGAATGCCCAGATTTGGCACGAAGGTCGCTATACCTGCACAACTCAGACAGTGGTGGACAGCGACACGGCATACGCTGATCTCAAGGTTGTAGGTCAGTCGATCGTAGATACTTTGATTATTTTTGATTTCTGATCCCCTTTTAGTATTTCGGTTGATATTCTTATCCAGAGTAAATATACAGTCTGTATTGCTATTTTGCCTGAATATGTACCTTTCCTCCCTAATCCAGGTGTTCCTGGGCCTCCCGGTGTGATCCGGGTGGACGAGATCGGGGACACGTGGGTGAAACTGTTGTGGACCAAAGCAGGGGATCATAACAGCCCCATACTCTACTACACCATCCAGACCAGACACTACTGGGCTCTGAATGAAGACGACTGGAAGGACGCCAGCACCTGTGAGTACTGATAACTGCCAGCAGGGGGCCAAGTCGCTCTGCAGTTTGGATTAACTCAAGCGTTATAACCTAACGTGACCTGATCGTTGCATGTTGTTAGTAGCATTGCCTAATCATGCTGCAGAGACAGCAAATGTAGCACAATTTTTAGAATTGAATCAAATTTGATATGACATTCGTGTCTCTTTCAGCACCAACCTTTCTTGATGGCAGTATGGAGAAGGCAGAAGTGACAGACCTGTACCCCTGGATGGAGTATCAGTTCAGAATCATTGCCACTAACGAGTATGGCTCTGGCGAGGCCAGCATCCCCTCCCTCAAGATCAAAACCTGGGATGCTGGTAAGGAGAGAATGCTGACTTTTAGTCAGAAAGTAAGGACAGGTGTGGGGTAAAAAACTTTAATAACCTTTGTTCTTCTCAGCTCCAGTGGTTGCTCCCACTGATGTAGCAGGTTATGGAACCAGAAATGGTGAAATCATCATCACATGGACAGTGAGTAAGCCCTTAGTTCACGTGACACCAAAAATACTTACACACATCCCTGCATAACAAAATCTAAGAGTTGTTTTTTTCTTTCTTTTTCTCTTTCCACTCCTGACACCCTTAGCCTGTGCAGCCATGGTATTTCTATGGCAAAAAGTTTGGCTACATTGTGGAATTCAAGCCTCGAGATGGTTACGATTGGTTTCCCCAGACCATTTCGGACCCTGAGACAAGGCGTTTTGTCCATCGGGACCCCACATTCATTCCCACTGATGAAGATTTCCAGGTCAGAGAGTTTCAGGTGAAGATCAAGTCATTTAATTTGAAAGGAGACGGACCGTACAGCCTCACCAAGACCATCTTCTACCCAAGAGATGGTGAGGATTGTGTTTTACAGCTTGGTTTCATTTTATGTTTCCATTTGGAAAAATACTGTAAAGGGTGTGACACTAAACTTAGAGCAGTTGTCCAACTTTTTCTCTTTTCTCATCCATTTGTCTGAATTTTGTAGTCCCTATAGAGCCTCCAACAGACGTCTATGCCCGGCCAGTGTCCTCCACCGAGGCAGTGGTGTGGTGGTTGCCAGTGGTCGACACTGGTACAAGCCTGCAGCAGTACATTGAGGGATACCAGGTACAGAGCTTTTACTGAACAACACACACTGAAGAATTACACAAAGACATACTAACTGTTTATCCAGCTCTTTAACTTTTGATTGAACCTACTGGATAAAGAGATACATTTCAAATATCATTTTTCTTCTAACTAGGTCAAATACTGGAGAAAGTACGATGATCCGGAGCCGGGAGCAAACCGTATATTTGTTCCAGCCACAGTCAATCAGACCAGGTTGGAGAACATGCTGCCAGACTCCCACTACCTCATTGAGGTCCGTGCCTTCAATGGAGCCGGCCTTGGACCCCCTGGTGAACACTGTGAGATGTTCACAAAGAGACCACGTAAGAGCAGTTACTCACAATCTATGGGCAATTAACCGCTATAATGAGAGCTATCTTCTTAGAATGATACACAGATGTAGAAGTAGAAACAATTTTCTTTTGTTTACAGCACCACCAGACCCTCCCAGGATGTGGCGCTATATTTCCTGGACAGGACAGTGGTTGTATGTGTGGTGGGATCATATCCAGTATGACTGGTTTGGCAATATTTCCTTCCCACTGTACTACAAGGTGAGTGTGGGAAGCTTTGCTATTATCTTTTTAAATAAATTTATACATTTTTAATTAGATCTGAGACTGACATAAAAATGTCCCATGCTTTTTGTTTTCCAGGTCATGTTCAGAAAGACAGGGTACATCTACGGGAAAGTTTACATCACTGGCTGGCACTTCATGGACTTCCCCATGCCTCAGGTTGGAGACTATGAGCTGATGGTACGAGGCCGTTATGAAGGAGGAGATGGCCCAGTGAGGAAGATAAGAATTCAGGGTAAGACTAATATAATTTTGTGATTGATTTAAAGATGCTATGTCCTCTTGGTTCATTTGTCTCATGTTGTTTTTGCTTCCTCAGGTAAAGCATCTATGATCACGCCCACTCTAAGCCTGGTGTCTTTGGTGCTGCTGGCGCTGTGCATTGCAGGATTGGAAATTTAAGCCTGCCACAAGTGACATGTATATAATAGACTCTGGGAAGTTATTATGTGGGCCTACTGTAATGAGAGATCCAGTCTTCTTCTCCAAACACTCCTCACCTGATAGTCAGTTAAGATCCTACATCATGCCTCTGCCCTGCATCTGTTCTGTTGTAACACCACACAGGAAGCTGTTGTTCACAAAAAATAAAGACCCGCCACTTTTTATGGACTTACTTCATCTTCTAAATGAACACAGCAGTGCTACTGAGCTGCATAAGACTCCTGCATCGATCATATCATATCTCTAAGGAGGAGATCGGAAATGTACTCTGTCAAATCCAAATATGTTTTATCCAAGTCAAAGCCAAAATGTTAGACAGGTGATATTTGGTTGGCTCATTTAATAAGGCCCCCTTATTTTTTAATTAAGCTCTCCACATACTGTACTGTAAATGCATTCAGAAAAGCCATGTTTAAGTTATTAGCTGTAGTTATAGAGCTGTTTTTTATGCCTTTCCTCTATGTTCCAATCACGGTTTCCTGTGTGGACAAACAGGTAGAATTTAACCCTTAAAATGGGGGAATGTTATTTATTACAAGCACTATGAATTTCTCAGATGGTTAAGTAATCGATAACATATAAAGATAACCACTGTATTTGGTTTGGAATGAGAAGAGAAGGATGAGCGACTAGATTGTATGGATATATAATGTCACTTGTCCAATTTTCTTCTTGGATCACACACTGTATATCATATACATACAGGCTTGTTATTCACTATCATAAGATTGTAGATTCAGGAAGGTGTTTTCACTTTTGTTAAACTTTTAGTTTAGATTAATTTTCTACATTTTCAATGGTGCTGTATGACAGGTACAAAGCTTGCTTCATGTTAATTAAGGTTTTCATCCTAACCAGAGTCACATGCGTAAACAATTTAAGTATGAGTTTTAGCTGCACCAATGAAAGCCATATCACTTTGATGACAACGTCCTTAGAGACCAATGATGATTTGTGAAGGGAAATGTAATATTCGAATGAACCATGAAACTGGGTTTGAATAGAAACTGCTATATATCACATATGTATGCTAATTTCCTTTATGTCAGGCTGCAAAACCATTAAACAGTGCAACAGTCTATATTGTCTCATTGGTTGAGTTTTAGTCCATTTCGTGTTCCTTTCCAGTCAGTACAGGGTTAATGAAGTACTTTAATAGGATTATTCAGATATATTTTGCCTTGGTGTGAATTTTGAGCAAGAAATGAATTTATTTTATGCTCTTGCTGTACTTTTTAAGGTTTCTCAGCCTGCAAATTGAAATGTGATGTGTGATTTCAATCAGCAGATGGCAGTATATCCACGCGCCATTTACCAGTATTAGTCTATTATTCAATCCAATCACTGACACAGGAGTGCACAGAAGTGTTTTTTATTTCCAATCTGAATTGTGTCATATCATCTATAGTTTCCTTTCAGTAATACTGAAAAAAAAAAAAGATTTTTTTTCTTGAATGGCCTTGCACTTTCACAGCAGTATTATTTTTTCCACACTAAATGTTCCTGTAGTATTGGTTTGGATGGTAGTAAAGGTTATTGCTTATTCCTTATACAGTGTAAACAGCATATCCATATTTTGTGTGATGGTGTTTAAGAAGAAAAAAGGAAAAGGATTATTTTTAATGTGTGTGCTTTTGTTTGTGCTTTAAAGGTAGCTTGCTTTCATACTGTACAGTAGTCTCTGTGTGGGTGGCTTTTATCTCCCCTGTTTCCACCTCCATTACCAGCATTTCTCGCATTTTACCTCCTTCCCCTCAAACAAATTACCTAGACACAGAGAATCCCATGTGAGGCTGAAATCAATGCTCCCATCATTTACAAACAGTCACAGCAGATACACATAGGTGAGTCTCCCATAGCAGGAGAGTGAGTCGTCCTCCAGAGGAGGATATTGAAGAGCCTGTTGTTGTGATACATGGTTCTTTCTGCTTTTATTTACATGCTCTGGTCTGGCTCCTCTGTAGACAATGAACGGCAGCATCATAGTGTGTGCCTTTAGTCTGTCTCTGTGGCTTGAAGCAGTGCATTACCCCAATCTTTTTTGTATAGAATGAAATCTCATGTTTTTACAAATGCTTAAAATCCAACATTTTAAGGCAGTCGTTCTGTTAAATCAGATTCTACCAGAAAAGTTTGTGAAGTAAAGAATTTGTTTTCCCACTGTGACTTTGTCAGGCTTACAGTGAAAGGGGACTTCTGACTAGATGTTTGCCAAGTTAAATCTCCACAATGTGAAAAACAGTACCCCGTTTTTTGTATGAGGTGCCACTGAGCAAGGCACTTAGGTTAACTGTGGTAGTGGTTGGCTATAACACGGGCAAATACTGTGTGCATACAAAACATGGAAGGCTGCTAATATGCTACTTTATCAGTGTGTGTGTGTGTGTGTGTGTGTGTGTGTGTGTGTGTGTGTGTGTGTGTGTGTGTGTGTGTGTGTGTGTGTGTGTGTGTGTGTGTGTGTGTGTGTGTGTGTGTGTGTGTGTTTATTTGTGGTGGCTCTGACTGATATTATGCTAAGATATGTGCAGGAAGCACCACACTCCCTTTTGGCCATTACTGTAAATAAGAAAGGTGATTTGGTCAAGTCGCCTGATCAAGGATGCATATGCAAACAAAGCTCTGGCATTGGCTGTGCTGTCAAAATAAAATGCATCCACACAGTGAATGGTGCTTTCAATGGTGATTTCATGAATATTGCGACACGCTGCACGGACGCTGCATTAGGACAGGACCAGCACATGACGTCAATCTTAATTATTTGCCTTAACACTTGTCTGTCGACTTTCATCAACCCCCTCTATCCTGTGTCAGTGTGCACATACAGTATGACATTACCTTAGGTGTCCGCACGTCCCTGCAAACAAACACCTATATTTTTATTTATTGTTCTTGCCCAATAAGCTCACTCAGTTTCTGACAGACACCACTAATTCCAGGTGTCAGATACAGTAAATAAACTCCCAGCGATGCAGTGGAATTCAGCTGATTATTTACGTATTAGATATTCCCTTTGCTGCTTTCCATTTGATCAGAAGATGCTCTCTGGCTGTCAGGTTGGACCTGTGATGGTGGGAGCACATAAATAATAATATAATAGACCTGGAGCCCTTAGTGCTCAAAGCAGGTTCAGTCTGCGTGATTTCCTACCTCTCACATGTACTCATTGCATTTTTATCAAATCCTCTCAACCCTTTAAGCCCCATTTCCATTCTCTGAATTATCCCCCATCTTTATCCATATACGGTGGCTGTGTTTCTGTACAACAGCACACTATACATTTAAATATAGAACACATTTTCTATAATTTAGCAGCAGTGTTGAAGCACAAAGGGGAATGCTATGAATACTATAAGCATCAATGGTATGAAAAAGTTCAAAATAAGCTCTGTAAAGCCAGCAAAGAGCCAAACCAGGACATATGCAAAGCAGCCTGCATTAGCCTTTGCACTGGCCCATAAATCACATACATTTGGCAGGGTCCCCTGGCTTGCTAGCTAGTTAGCCCAGACTAGAGAAGCCACTTCTGCTGCTCCCACAGAGCAGAGTGGCCTATTGAGCAACATCAGATGGCTCCCAGGGTTCGGAAAGAGCCGCACTAAATCTCCTAGACCAATTTGGCATGGCAGAGCTGGCCTGTGTTAGCAGCGCAGCTAACCTGGTTAGCAGCCTGTTAGACCACGGTTGGAGGTCCCTCCCGCTGTTCGACTGGCTGAAATGGGCTGTGGTGTCAGATCCGGAAGTAATTGCCTCTTCTATGGGTAGTTTATGACCCTGTTTACCCTGTGAAGAATAGCTCCTTCACATATCCCTCTTTCTGATGGAGGTACTTTGTCAGGCTGATGGTTGATGTAGGTGCCTTCTCACTATTAGTGAACAAAAAGAATGTGCACCTTGAGGCTGAAGGAAACAATTTTAGCTGTATTGTGTGGCATTGAGAGGGGAATTGATTGCTCACTGTGCATTGTATACTCTCACAGAAGAGGCTTTTCCTGTCCATTGGCTAAATTGGGAAACTTCATTGTGGAAATATTCCCTAGATACCTAGTGCCCGGCAGTGCTGTCTAAATTCAGAAATAACAACAGACAGGTTGTAGTATTGTATGACTTCTGTTTTGTGTGGCTCATCAGCCTCCTGCCAGATTTGTGCTCACTCTGCACCAGGACCCCCTAGTCTGCTTTGGCAATCACACCAAATCCTCTCTCTTCTCTCTCTCTCTTTCTGTCTTGTGCTGGCAGACCTGACGCTTGGTATTTGCTGATGCCAGAAAAAACGTTTCCAATCCTCTTTGTGTCCAATTAAAGATTAACAGCAGTACATCCACAGAGCCAGGACCCTTTATTGCTGTAAATACCTTCTCAGCTTTTGTTTAGGAGATTTTCATTCAGTACGATTGCTGAAATTGGGAAATGGGCAGTCTACACAAAACACAGCTGTCATTGTTTGATACATTTATTCCACGATCTGGATCAAATACTGCACTGATGTATGGTAACACAAGGATAATAGACTAAAATAGAGAATGATTTCTCTCTATTAAAGTGAAGACCTTTCAGCGCCACCAGCAGGTTGACATTTTGGGATTTTAGTGCATTTTCTCGACAACCATCCGAAAACATGCCATGACATTTGGTACAGATAACAGTGGTCCCCAGAGGATGACTCCTAATGACTTTGGTGATCCTCTAACCTTTCATTTAGCACCACCAGCAGGTCAAAGTCTTCCCTTATCCAAACATCTCAGCAGCTTCTGAATGGATGGAGATTTTGTGGAGGCATTCATGGTTCTCAGTTGATGCATCCTAAGTGTGCGTGAGTGCTCTTCTGACTTTTCATTTGGCGCCACAAAATCTTAATTCATCCAATACATTAAAGAAAACCTGCAGATCAGCTGTACGTTGGCATATGTATGTTAGCATGCTAAACTAAGATGATGAACATAGTTAACTTTACACCTGCCTAACATCAGCATGTTAACATTGTTATTATGGGCATGTTGCCATGCTAGCATTGGCATTTAGCTCAAAGCACCACTGTGCCTAAGTGCAGTCTCAGAGAGAGGCTGTCATGGCTGTAAACTTCTGCTGTTTCTATAGTATCAGATGAAAACTACAGAGTTTATATTATATATCATGACTCTGTTATCCCTGGCCTGGATGAATCCATCCTTAATGATTGAAGAGGATGAAGCAGTACAAGGATGTCTGCCTATAATTACTGAGAATCATTCTCCAGCATCGACAATTATAGTCAGTCAGGTATGGAGTAAGGGGGAGAACACTGGTCAAATGATTCATTGCTCTTTGTGTATTCACTCTCAGTATTACATTTCTTAACAAAAAATCACTCATATAAGATACATTTATTAATTTATTTGCCTTAATATGAAAGGGCTTTGTTTGAAGTGCTTCACTTTCAGTGCAAAGCAGGCATGTAAACAACTATTGAGTGTTTTAATTATATGAAAAAAGGAAAAATATCTGACAAAACAGTGAAAAGAGAAATTCCTTCAAAGAGGATTTTCAAGGAATGAAGATTTAATAATTTGATAGTTGCCTTGTTCTTGAAACTCTTTGAGGTTGAATAATATTTATATTTCTAGATGAAGATGAATTAGACTTTAAGATTAAAACGTAAAATGCTAAAATGGCTGAGATGAATGTATTATTTTTATTTTTTTTGCAGAGACTGTTAAATATCAGCTTCCATTGTTTCCGGTGTAGACAGGAGGGAATTAAGGGCTTCAGCCATTAGTGTGGTGCGCTCTCAGCTGTCACACAGGAGGCCATGCAGTGAAGGATGGATGTCAGCCTTATGAAAGAGGAATGTGATACCTGTGCTGTCAGGAAGGAAAAGCTGGAGGGATAGAAGCAGAGAAAGGCAGGAAACAAGCTGGCAGGGGAAAAAAAACTGAAGATAGAGAGTGAGAAATAGAGGGAGACAGGGGAAAGGAGATAGACTTTGAAAGACACCACAAAATGATGTGGCATCACTCAGTGCCCGTGAGGCAAAATCACCTCCATCCCTCCTCACACCCTCAGAATAATGGCAGGATTTATCACACGTTCCCTATTCACAGAG